ATATATATATATATATATATATATATATGTGTGTGTGTGTGTTGTAATAAGCTGTAGAAGTGGTACTAGAAGTTAAAAGGTGTGTCCGGCAGTAGGGACCAGAAATTGTATGTTAATCACCCAAATTTGGGACCAGAAAATGAAACAAATTGTTGTCAAATAATTGTTTTTTTTAATACATTGTTGTACAGAATGAAACAAAGTATATCAATATCAATAATTATAGCAATACTTAACTATTAATCAATATTAATTTATCTATGACTAGTATATAAAAAGATAAAGCTGCCCAGTTGTAGAGGGGACCTTTTATTTTTTATTTCTACCAATTGATCAATAAGTATATATATTGCTGTACGTAAATAATATATAATATTATTGTATGACCTTATCAGGACATTGAACGAAAATAGAAACAAAAACGTAATTAGTGTGATCCAGAAAAAACAATAGTTAATGTCCAATATTTGATTTGAAAATTTTATCTCTATGGATCATATATATTTTATTTAACTCTTGCTTTGGATGATTATGTTTTGGGTGGTATTGTATTCAATGTCATTGAGCATGTCAGCTTAAACACTACTTTTGTATATTTAGAGTTGGATTCAAGATCACTTAATATGTATTTAGTTTAGATTTTCAATGTAATAAATTACATTAGAATAGAAATTATCAGTTATAAATTATAATTTTTACGTTTTAAATATGATTTTTCTCTAAATCATGTTTTGAACGTGTAACTAAACATACATTTAATTTAAAATGACTCCTTTTGGCTTATGTAATAAGAGTGCACTTTCTACTATCGTAATTTTTATTTATTTATTTACACTCCTTTAAAAAAAAATATAGATGCAGCCGAAAATTGTTTGTAGGTTAGGCACATGGTTGGTAATATTTCTCTTGTACCAGTTCTATTCTATCTACGAAAATAAAAATAAAAAAATCTAAGAAGAATTCAAAAGTATCCTGCAAAGAAGATATTTTGTGTTGGATAGAAATATGGTAAAGAGAGAAAAATATAATAATAATAATAATAATAATAATAATAATAATAATAATGAGTAAGGTAAGAGAGTAAGGGAGAAGTTAGAAGAGAAAGGCGACAACATTGCTTACGAGGCAACGAGCAGAATCTGCGTCATCTGGGACACAGAGGCGAAACGGCACCGTTTGCTGTGTCGTTGGTTCCACCAATTTGCACTTTGCAGTTGCTTGCTTCCGTTCCAACCTCCAACCCAATCCACTATATTTTATCTATTCTATTCTCTTTCCCTCACCAACACAACACATTACACACGCCATTTCTCTCTAAGTCTTCTCTCCCCCTCACCCCACTCCTTCGCCACCCAACCCCAAACGACGCCGTCTCCACTTCTCTCATGTAACCGCCGTTCCGGGACACAAAAACAAACTTCCGTTGTTCTCGTTCGTTTTTTTTTGTCCGGTTCGGTTTTTTTAGATGGATCGGGCGGCGTTGACGATTGGACCGGCCATGGACATGCCGATCATGCACGACAGCGACCGTTACGATCTGGTCCGCGACATCGGGTCGGGGAATTTCGGCGTAGCGAGGTTGATGCAGGATAAGCAAACCAAGGAACTCGTTGCCGTGAAGTACATCGAAAGGGGTGATAAGGTTGTCTCCACGAATGAGCAACTTTTTTTTTGTTTTTTTGTTTCTTTGGTGCTGTTCTTTCTGTTGCCCCTTGTTTTGGAAAATTTTTAGTTTTCACGCCTTTTGTGAAGGCAAAGAGGGGAAAACCAATTGATCACATGATCGAGTTGCTTTAATTGTTTCCTTGCTTGTTGCTGACGTGTGATACTATTTTTGCCATCTTCCGTGTTTCCATTTTTGTTTCGTTACTCTTTTTTTCTTTTTATAATTTTTTCTGCGGCATTGGTTAGCACTTAGCGGTTAGTTGTTTCTTATTGATGAAGTGCTGGAGCCGTGGTTTTAATTCTTGTTGTGTCTCACAGATTGATGAAAATGTAAAGAGGGAAATCATTAATCACAGGTCTCTCAGACATCCTAACATTGTTAGGTTTAAAGAGGTTAGTGTATTTTTGTGTTTTTATTTTCTAAATGTTATTTATGCACGAGGGAGGGGAAATCACGTTTATTTGTGATGTTCTATAAAATTTCCACGCAGGTTATTTTAACACCTACTCATCTTGCTATTGTAATGGAATATGCATCTGGAGGAGAGCTCTTTGCGAGAATCTGCAATGCTGGACGTTTTACTGAGGACGAGGTTATTTTATTTGTTTACTTATTCTACACCTGAACGTTATGAATTTTTGCTTCTAATATGTTTTTTACTCATGTTTGTAACCCGTTGTTATGATTCAGGCTCGATTCTTCTTTCAGCAACTCATATCTGGAGTCAGCTATTGCCATGCTATGGTAATTGAACATTTTCCCGTCTGCTCTGTCCAATCTTAATTGTGTTTACACTAGACAGAAATGTAGTATAGGTAATGTATCGGTCTTCTAAACATTATGTCTGATGTATCAATTTTCTTCGTAATATGTTTGCTCATGAAGCAAGTATGTCATCGGGACTTAAAGCTGGAAAACACTTTGCTGGATGGAAGCCCGGCACCTCGTTTGAAGATATGCGATTTTGGGTACTCCAAGGTAAGGTTTTTGTTATGTCGCCAGCTGTTCATGGTATGAGTTCCATGCTTACATGGTGAAATTTGATAATCTAAATTATTTAAAAAGCTTGTTCTTTATGGTGGTCGTAATATGTTTGCTCATGAAGCAAGTATGTCATCGGGACTTAAAGCTGGAAAACACTTTGCTGGATGGAAGCCCGGCACCTCGTTTGAAGATATGCGATTTTGGGTACTCCAAGGTAAGGTTTTTGTTATGTCGCCAGCTGTTCATGGTATGAGTTCCATGCTTACATGGTGAAATTTGATAATCTAAATTATTTAAAAAGCTTGTTCTTTATGGTGGATTCCCACGTGTTAGAGTTTGGATTGTCAAAGTTATGAGCCGTTAAGCTTGTCATATATGGCTTTGATTATAAAACTTATGTCGTATCAATTAGCAAGTCATTGATGAGGTGATCCACTTGAGAGGAGGCTAATTTGAATATCTGATGAACAAGTAGATCACAATTACTGATGATCATTGTATTCTAGTTGTGTATGTTTGTTTGCTTTAATCATTGTTATATCCCACAAATCTGATTGATGGTGTGATTTGTAGTCTTCAGTGCTTCATTCACAACCAAAGTCAACTGTGGGAACTCCCGCATATATTGCTCCAGAAGTATTGCTGAAACAAGAGTATGATGGCAAGGTAGAGTTTTTACTGTTTAATTGGCATTGTTCTGTTTCTGTAGATCTATTGATGTCATAATTAAATGAACAATTTTTTTGTGTATTTATCATCATTTTTGAGCTGGCTAATTCTTGACTTTTCATGTTATAAGGATCTAAAGCGATGATATTTTCTAGTTTTTTCACCCAGTCCAATGGTCATTTTGGTCTGCACTCCAAAAAAAGGTCATTTTAGGTTTTTGGCTGTCATTTCCATGTAATTTAGGTCCTGAAGGCACTAGCTCAAAATCTATACTTAGAAAGGGAACATAAAAACTTCAAATTTAAAGCCATGTCCATGATGGACACATCTCAGATGCTTCAAATACCTTTGTCATCGCCATGTATTTTACAATTAATCGTAGTCTTTTTATTATGTCTACAGTGACCCGTGCTGATTTAGAATATTAATTTACTCTGAATTATGTCCTATGTTGTTAAAATTTGTTGTATCCTTGTGTCCCTTGTCATATCCATACATTTTAGACTATCTAGTTAGTTGACACTTAACATTCTACAGTATTGTTGTATATGTCTAATCGGATCGGTCGGTGCGGTTCCATTTATGAGAAACGCTCTGATTTTGGCTCGCCAATCTTGGGAGTCGTCCGGCTCGGCACGGCCGGCATTGACATTTGCGACCATTTCTCCATCGACACTAGGGTGGTCGATCTCTTGCTGAATTATCGTTCTCAGATGGCCTGGCTTTTTAGTCGCGGCCAACCTAGCCAGCTGATCAGCTCGAGTGTTGTCTTCGCGTGGGATGTGCTCGACCGACACCTCCTGAAAGTTCGTCTTCAACTTTTGATAGGCATGATAGTACTTCATCATGTTGTGGTTTTTCACTTGGAAATTGTCGCCGACCTGCTCGGCCATAACTTTGGAGTCGGTCAAACATTTGACTCTCGAGGCTCCCATGTCTTCGGCTAGGCTCCGTCCGGCCAGGAAGGCTTCATAG